ACGGAATAATAAAACTAAAATCTTACCTACAGCGAGTAGGGATCGACGGGCGAGAAAATCTCTCTCGGCCAGTGTTGCAAAATACTAATTAACAAACAAAAACCGAATCGTTTTCATCGCGTGAATCGTACACAATACATTATCAGCAGCAATGAGCGAGTGTACTCGGTCGTCACACGACCTTACAGAAGCCTCCCTCCTGGCCGGGAAATCCTCGTTTTCACACGCAATGCTGCTCGTGTGACCATTTGGGGATTCGCCTACACGGCTATGATGGCGTTATATTATTGTGTGCACAGGCTAAATGCGATATTCCACCCAGACGTGTTACCGTGACCACAAACACGAACCGATTGTGACTGATGAGTTTGGTACAAATCTGGTGGTACCCGATTAAACTCGATACCGAACGATAGTCTACACAGCGACAGTAATTTTTGGTCTAGAGTACCTAGTTCTTGGCAGTTGTATTTTCGTTGAAATCAACAGCTGTGTCACAATGAATCGTTGTAGAGTGAACAAAAAAAAACGTATTGCTAATGTCCGTTTTACACGACCGATTTGTCCAACCGTGACTGCTGAAGATCATCACGACCGTAAAAAGGTGGTAAATCATAATCGCCGCCGGCCTCGTTCAACGCCGTACCCGAGTGCTTGTCCTCTCTCGATCAACTTTAAACGATAACCGGCTTCGTGTATCGCCCACGCTAGAAAACAAAAATCTCCATCAATCCTTAAACGGAATTTTATCCTTGCAGCTTCTCCTCTGGATGATATAGGTACATAAAAAATATATTCTATACAGGACAATAAAGGAAAACACCGCTATTAGTAATCGACTTGGAGCATTACTGACCTGACCTACGGAGTAGCTTTTTCTAATATTACATTATTATATGCTAAGGTTTGTAACTCGCCTGTATAAACACATTTAAACGCAATCGATCATTGCGTTGTTTGTGCCATACATACGACATTAGTTATATTAGTGTTGAGTTGTATGCATTATAGTAATTTATTCTAAAGCTGTGTGTCGACCCTACCTAGAATGGTGTTTTCGAATCAACGTGTTTGATCGCATGACGTATCAGACTTTGTGCGATTTAAGTTTTCTTCAAAGCTAATAATTCCAGTCCCCTCGGGGAATCGTATTTAAACGTTCCATGTTGATCAAGCGACCGTGATGTCCGTCATTCAGTTACATAATCTACAAGATAAAATAATTATCACTATTATACTTATTTCACTGTATCATTCAGCCAAAACATAAATATTCAGTGGTATCCACAATTGTGTGTAACAGTATTATTTCTATTCTCAAAATTGTTTCAAAATCTAAACAATAATCATAATAACAATAATAATCTAACGAAAAGAAGATTTTTATTGGATAACTGTTTATACTAAAATTATTTAACACGAATGGGCTGCCAATTTTGGTCGACTGACCAACACATCACAAACAACTCGATTTTTCGATAAAAATTATTACTTTTTAGAATATAAAATATACTGTTGCGTACAATTTCCAGTGCTTTGCGCAAACCTAATTGTTTGACATTATATTACATTAGCTTATAATGTAGGTTTGGAACAAACGTTTTGGAGTCGTATCGCTTAATATTCGTTTGATGATTATCGCAAAAAAAACAAAATTGTTTAGTTACACAACAATCGTGCAATCTTTACTTACTTACTGTCCCGACACATCGCTACGTAGGTGTAAGTTAATAATATTTAACTTCTTAATAAGCAATCAAAATTGTGGTTGCCCGAGTATGAGGTCGGGTCTTTAACCAATTGGATATTATATTTTCTTTGTTCACTGCAAGAGTATCATAAAAAATACCACTCACGACCGTTCGAAGTCATTGTACTGTGTCTAAGACCATCGCCCGAACGAAATACATATTATATGTATATATTGTACAGGCATTATGCTTAATATACTCTATGCGTTGTTGTTTCGTTTGACAGTTTAGTTTTGTAAATTTTACAATGAAAAAAAGACATAAGCAGCTTTCGAGAGAACACATTTTCAACTTAAAACATACTGACGGACAGACTTTATTATTTAAAATGTGCCACCCATGTTAATACCAATTGCGAAGTGAAGTGTCCGTTTATAAGGTTTTGATATCAAGTAGGTACCTTGAAATCTTTCATCCAAGTTTCATAATTATACCTCACCGAAACAACAATTCTCCTGCAGGCTAAACTCGATAGCCGAACGTGCTACGTTAAATGATTGCATAAATAATTAATAATAACCTTATACTTCTTCAAAGGAATTGAAAACGTGTTTTTTTTTTCAAAGTACTATAAATTAGTTCAAAAACAAAACTTCAAATTCAGCTGTTGAGGTCGCCGGTATTATTTATAAATATATATTATAAACTATACAATTAATAATTTGTATTATATTATATCAACTAAATTTACGATCATCGTTTTTAATTATATCAACAGTAAAGCCATTTCTTGTGTTCCTAAGTAAAGAGCCCTTACTAAGAACTTATGAAGGATATATCTCTATAATTACATGTTCGAGATAAATGTTATTTTAGTGGATAAGTGTACAGAAATATAGGGAGTTAGATATGAGTCATATAGAGACTATTCAAGAGATTTAGAGATTTATTTAGCATGATGTGTAATCATGCTAAATAAAAAAGTCAATAAGGACATGTGCACAAAAAAATGTAGTTTAGAATAAAAGGAAAACTATTTAAACACAAGACCAGCGTTGATGTATGAAAGTGAGTGTTGGGCAATTTTTGTTGATACATACCTAAAACTTAAGTAAACAATAGCACAAAAATTTAACTTGAAAGTAAACATTAATACAAAATGTTCTTTGTAAAAAAAAAAATTCATGACGGCTCTATAATTTGTTTCTACCGACATAGTATACATGTAATTTTCGTTGTAACGTTTATCTGCTTCTTGTTGCAGCAATTTTTGCTGGATTTTAAAAACGACTACTTAGATAGGATTTAATATAAAAGCATACTTTCAATGATTATACCTACCTGTGTAGGTAACATTGGTAAATATGTATTTAATAATATACACGGGTATCGTGAATGCTCCGCCCAAACGTATAATTGGCCAGTTTTTGAAACAGCCAATTATTCGTGTATACACTTATAACTGTTAGATTGTGCTATTTTGTTTTCTTCGCGAACTAGCTGTTATAACATCTTACAATTTTTTTTTCAGTTGTTGTTATCTGCAAGAATAATACATTCGAAAAAAAAATTGTTAGGAGACAATTATTCATTACATTATTCTAAACAAAATTGCTAAATACCAAAAACGATATCCCTTACCCATCTGTACTTAGGTTAGGAAGGGTTAAATTTTAAAATAAGTATTTGTTATCATTAACGAACAAATTATAAGACAATTTAAAATAATTTCAAAAATAACTTACATTATATTATGCAAAACAAATGATTTTTCACATACTAGTAATAAAAAAATGTGTAATATCAATGGTCTAAAACATATAGTTCTTGGCTCTTGTAAGTTATAGAAAGCATGCATTTGTAGAACAAGAAAATGTTAAAATGACTGAGAAAAGTAACCGTCTGAATTTGATAGAATACAATATGCAATACTAATATAGCAATGGAGCAAATTAACAAACATTTATTAACACACACTTTTGTCTAACGTTTTCGGTCATACCGTTTAAAACTAAATTAGTGACTGGTGATAATAACAAATAATAATAATGACAATAATTAACGTATCAAAGTATATTTTTGTACTATAATAGCTCAATTATTACAGTTAAGCCAATTTGTTTAATGGTCAAATTTAAGGATCGTTCGTTTACCAAGTTTTCACGTGATACGCTTTTTACGGTTTGGCCTAGTAGTTTTAACGTGATTGCCTAGTGCTTATTAAAGTCAAATTTTTTGTCAAAAGCGCAAATCCTATTTTTATTGCAGAGCAGACACGAAATAAACATGAAGTGCGTTCAAGGATAATGCGAAACGTTAGGGGAAAAAAACTCTACGGTTATCGAAGTACATTATAAATGATTTACAAAAATTTCGAGGTCAGAAAAGTGATTATTCTCGAATAAATAAATTCATTGTTTTTTTTTCCTTCCGACTCCAGCCGTCGACCGATTGATTGACTCTAACCGCGGCGGCGGTGATTATTTTGCAATTATTTATTTTTTAAGCCTCGTGGCCAGGTTAGGTTAGGTTGATCCAACGCCTTTGAGACGATAGTGATTGCGAGGAACTCTAAACGATTGATTATCTACGCGAGATGAAAAACATATCGAAACGAAACGTCAAGGACCTACTATTTCCACCGTCCAATTTGTATTACATTATTATGTGGCCTGCACCGTTTCCTAGCAAATGTTGTAGTCTGGTTTCAGCTGTTGCATTACACGTACACGTTATTATGATTTCTCGCGGTAAACAGCCGACGTTGATGGAAAAAAAATCGCACAAACACAATCGATTAGTTTTGGTAAAACCGTGTACAGGGCATCGTTCCAAGGAGCTTTTTTTGAAATTGCCGCCGTACATACATATAGATAGGTACCGCATGTGATTATTATATTACACGGACAGCATGTGATACATACAAATCCAAATCGATAACGACGCATGTCATGTCAATATTTGTCGGTATGGAGCATTGCGAATTCGGAGATAACCAATGAAGAATTAATTTAAAATAAATTCAACGGCTTTAAATAAAACCGAAACACCTAATTGGGTTAAATGATGATTCCCAGGGCCGCGACAAGGTCTACTGGGAGAGTCATCTAGCCCAGCGCCTTTACGGTTCAGCGATTTTACGACCTAGTGTTTCACTGGAACGCGCTTTCGCTTTTCCGAGGTCTGCCGGAAAGCGATTATATCACATACACCTCAACTACACCACCCAATAAATAACTATACCAAACAAATTTGTTCGATTTACCCTCCAAAAAAAAAATTAACAAAAAATGTCTTTGTTTGTTTCAGTGTCGATATTGGGTTCCAGTTGGCACGTAGCCCGGACCGTTATCACTAGTGCTTATCGAGCCCTATCCAAAGAGCTGATAACCGCCGAACTCGGTGCCTACGTCGGACTCGGTCACATCAACATCACGCTTACCGGTGGATATTTTTGAATTTCAGTCAACCAGAATTTTCCCTTATTCCCCTTATTGTTTTTATTTTTTTTCCAGCACTGCCGACCGACAACTCGTCCATGTCGGTCGAAGACATCAGCTTCAACGAACGTTTCTCGTGGTTGGAAGCTCACGAGATGGGCGAAAGTTACCAAGCCGCCTTATACCGAGGTCTTCCCTTCCCCATACTGACCGTCGCCGAGTACTTTAGTCTGGGCCAAGAAGGATTCGCCTGGGGCGGTCAATACCGAGCCGCCGGCTACTACGGCACCATATTCTTGTGGTAATTGTTTACTCGTCGTTTGAGAACGACGCTCTTTAGCAATGAAAGTGTTTATAAAATGAGTTGCTTTTCTGTAAAATACTGTACGAAATAGTGTGACGTGACGTCATTCTAGTGATGAGAGCCAAAGTTTTCATCTAGTTGTCTAAACTAGTGCAGTTTCGCTTGTAATTCTCACGGAACTATGATTTGATCACGCGCAATCTATTTCATAAAAGGTCTATGAATATCACAATCGGTAAGGAAATTTGGCTACAGCCCTTATTGCCAGCGATGCCATGCTCATCTCATAGGTGTTCGAAAGATTTGTAGACCTTTAATCAAATGGATCTAATTGTTGACACTTCTGGTAATAAGGATTGCTGCAACCCGGTTTGCTTACTGAACGAATCTGGACGAATTGTTGAGTGAAAACCTGCGATGTTCCAAGCAAAAACCTCAACAATTAAAAGTCACGTTGTATCACCCTTGAGGGTCAAAAGCCAGGGGCTGAATTTTGACATTACCTTAAATTCTTATTAGATAAACACTTTCAGCATTGCACCGAGACTCTTTTTATGAAAAATTAAACATTTACAGGACTGCGTTCGTGTCGTGGTTCCTGATGAACGTGCTACTGGTGGTGGTCCCTCGGTACGGGGCTTACACCATGATGGCCACGGGCAGTTTCATGGTAGGCGCGACGGCCGCTTACCACTGTATGCTCCCGTGGATACCGCTAGTCATACGGTTCCAAGACGACAAGTTTCTACTGTTCAAGTTGGGCTGGTGTTTTTGGCTGACTCTGTTCACGGGTAACGCGTGCACTACCATTGGCTCCATTCTGCCAACAGCACAAGGTCTCCCTAAGAATTCCCGCAGAGTTTCTTAGACTCCGTGGATGTTCCCGGGCATTTTCTGAACTCCCGGTGGGGGAACTTGTGCTGTCGGTGTCAATGGGAACCCTGTCGACCAAACTGTGCTTTATGTCGTTTTCAGGTATGCTATGCATAGCCGTCGGACTCATAATCGTGGCCGTCGACTGCGTGTACCCACACAAGTTCTCCACCATACTGGAGGTGGACTTCGACACGCCCTACGACCGGCACATCATCATCGAAGACAGCAGCACCCGGAAAAAACGTGTGGGCAAAAGTCTGGAAGAGCCCGAGGGACTTGGGCGTAGGATATTGAGGTCAGTAAAGCCAACGTCGTCCGAGACGTTGTTCAGCTCAATTGCTTGTTGTCCAACTTGTTGTTCGTTACACGTATATTAAATCAATTCTGTTGCCGTTTCACCTACCAGGCGATTGTCGTCCAAAAAGGACGACGAGACCAACGGCCAGATGAAACTAGCCGGCATGGAAAACCGCGGTTTCGAATTGGATCCGCCGCCGCCAAACTCGCCATGGAGATTCCCGTACAACAGACCGGCCGCGCAAGGAGTGAAATTCAACAGGAGCGTATCGCAGGACTCCATGACCAGTCAGACGTCCAGTTTGGCCGTGTCGTTCAACAACCGGGACAAAAGTCGATTGTCGATACTGAAAAAGTCATCGCCCGCCATAAGGTAACATTAATATTGTGTCGACAGGGAGCATTGTAAATAATTGTTTGTACGTACGCTTAAATTTATTACAACTATTTTTTTTTTTTTTTGCTATTATGTGTACAACACTGACTGGTTAATTTGTTTCCAGACCCGTGCCCGGCAGCGCACAACCGACGGCCGTGGTCGACAGAGCAAAAGAAGTGTCCATGTGGTAGGAAAATTCGAAACGATTACACTAATAACAAAAGTGCCACACAAAACGATTTGTGAATATTCAACTCAAGTCTGATCGTAGACATAGAAAAATACAATATGTATCATATAAAATAGTTAAGATTAGTATGTACGAAGAAAGTCATATTAGGCATAAATTATGTACGAACGTAACGCGGTAATATTCGATTAACTAAAACTTGTTTGTAAGTGAAACTAATGATGTAATGAGGTTCGTACGGTTAAAAAAAACCGGCTTGGGTTACACCGAAATCAATACAATTGCGAAGAAATACATATTTTATTTAATAAGATCAAAAAAAAAAAAAAAAATGAATAATAAGTAGAAAAATAAGCCAAGGCAATGTCAATTAGACGCGGATAATTATTTCAATGTGTTACCTATACCTATTTATTTATTAATAATATTAAGTGATTTATATATATATATATATAAATTTAATACTTGTAATGAGTTATCGATATTATTATTATTATTACTATTTGAATCAAAACAATGATTGTTGTACTATATGTTATTATAAATTATTACCCTTGACGAATAAATGTTTATATTTATTTATTATATTTCATTGTGTTTTATATGCCACATTTTTTTATGAATTATGTGTGCTACATTATACTCAGGCCTTACCTGATAAATTTCTAATTTATTTAAAATTATAAATTATATTTTAACACCAATATAAATGGATGTGCTTTACAAACTCGGCATTTTTCATGTTTGTATAATGACATAACTAAAATGTATAATATGTTCACATGTATTAAGTATTTTATGAAAAATTGTTTTTTTTATACTTATATCGCACTATGACAAAACTGTTTTGTGAATAATACACTGCATAGTAATGTTTTAAATGAATTATCTTCCAGTTGAATATATTTTCGTAAATACACACAAATGTAACATATGTTGCCGGTGTTAAGGCGTTTCGACTATTCCGTATATTTTAAACTAAAGACATATTTTGTTGAATATTAGCTGTTATATTATAATATTCAAGTAGAATATGAATGAACAGAATAATTTGCTCTTTCTGTGTTGCTTAAACTGAAATACAATTTTTTTCTTACAACGTTTCTATGCGTACGTAGACATCCAAAGTAATAAAACACATTTTTTTAAAATTTAAAATTTGTCGGATGTATCTTTTTTTTTGTAAGTCATTCATAGTTATTGGAATATAATTTATTAACATTTAAAAGCATTTTACAAGAACTAACGTCTAATTGTATGTACTGATAAAAATAATCATTATTGGCACATGGTAAAAGCATACTACAATTATTTTGGTTTTCAATTAAGCTTATTGTGAGAAATTGCCTATACGAAACTCCTTAAAAAGTAATTTTTTGCAAAATCGCACAAACATTTTCCTTCAAATTAAACGGTTCATACAAATTTTATGAACTGAGCACGAGTCATTAAATTGTGTTTCTAAATATTTCAATAATTAAGGGTCGCTATTTTCTTATAACTTGTATGAACATCGGAGTGAAAAACATAGCTTCAAATATGGAAGACAAACAATGAATATTTTTCAATTATTATTTAATCCTCTAAAGAAATATTATAACTAAATTTTAGTAACTATTATCAGGGGCTGATACAAGGGGGGTCCTCTCTTATGCACTTTAATTGTATGCTTTAAAAGTGTACTTTTATGATTATTATTTTATTATAATATTTTTTTTTTATTATTGAGATTCTGCATATTACAATTTATCTATTGTAATATAGTATATTAGAATATGTATCTTTTTACTACGTAAACTTTAACAACGACTATTGCTTATATACATTTGAAGTGAATTTTTTTCTAGCCCCCCCCCCCTTTCATTTCTAGGTCCTAGCCCTGAATTTTATAATAAAAAAAATACTTAAGGTAAATGTTTCATAATAAATATATTTTTGGTGAAATATCGTATTTTAGTTAAGAGAACGCCACACCGTTAATTTTTAAGGAATAAGATTTAGGCAATTTTTCGAAAAATCTCAATTAAGAGTTTTAAATTTGAACAGCAATGTATACTTATTAACACAGTAATGAGGATACTTTGTTGATTGCTATTTTTTTTTTGTCAGACTATCACAGTAATTTCTTTAGTGGAAATTACAGTTTTTTCCCCATCAAAACAGTTTTACGCGGATTAATTTTTCTCAAACTTCATATATAGGAAAGAAATTCATACATACATGCTCCAGCATCCGTATTTTTTCGATATACCTAAGACAACCGACGCTATATCATTTTTAAAAATGTCAAAAAAGTCCTTTCTTATTTAATTAACAATTATTCATTAACTGGTTGAAATATTAAGGCTATTGGGTACCGGCCAATTTATATTATTGACATTTTCACGTCTTAGCTCTGGCACATAACCGAAAAAAGCGTTATAAAAAAAGCGTAACGAAAAAAGCGTTCGTTACAAAGGCGTTCGTTACAAAAGCGTTCTTTACAAAACCGTTACAGAGATAGGGGTGGGAGATAAGAAATATGTTGTACGTTCAACGTTCAAATTAGAACTAAATAATAAATTCAAAATAATTTAATTCTCTAAGTTAAGTTACTTTTGGCCAGATAATAAACACTACAATTTTAGCCAGAAACTTGATTGTACATAATTTTTTTATCTCCTTGGCCTTATGCTGTAACTGTAAGCTCCATGTAATTTTTTTTTTTTTAATTATAATTCCACAACTAATTTAAATTTATTCGGTATTTCAACGAGACATGAAAATGCTCTTTCGTGGTTGCAGACTCGGCTGAAAAACTTTTTTTTCTCCTTTTAACTAAAATGGCTTTTACTCGTGGAAAAAATGGTTTAAATTAAAAATAATACCACGGAACCTATACAAATCAACCGATAAATTAATTGGCATGGTCGAAATTTATTAAATTCACTTATTTCTTAAATATTGCCTATACAAAACTTCTTAAAAATTGGCCGGTACCCAATATTGCCTTAAAAAAAGGGCCATGGTAGAGCACAGACAATGTTGTTGTCTATATTTTGTGAAAGAAGGTTTTTTGAAGAAAAAAAAACGGGTGTGTGGCGCCTTCTTAATTGGTGATTTCAATAGATTTTTTATGACGCGTAGAATAATAGGTATGATCAAATCATTTCCGTCTTCTTCGTTTCCTCAAACCAAAGAGACCAAGGAGATTATACATACATTTTATCGTCGTCAAAATTTCCTGATAACACGTTATCATTGAACAACATTCAAAACAAAAGCAAATAAATATATTTTCAAATAAATTAATGTTTTTATTGAAACTTGTTTAACGAAATATAATGTTACACTAGGTACTATAATATTGTGGATACTATTTAGCCAGTTGTGCTAATTTAATCGCCAATAAGACTTTATATAGTTATATTTTTATTTTAGTTTATTGTGTTTAATCATGTCTACCGATTTTGAAAAGCTGTGAGTAATACTTATTAGAATATTAAAAAGGGATAATAAAATACACGACATTATGTATTATGATAAACTGCGACTGTTTTATTGATGTATTTTATTGACAACTAATTCAGAGTAAAAGATCATCTCCGAATGCGACTGATGGAATCCGGTTGGACTGCGCAACTCAACGAAATGATAAAAAATTCTGTTAAAGCGCGACTAGCTGCTGGGCAAGTCTTAAGCACAATTAAATTTGAACAACTTTACAAAGATGTGGCTATCGAAGCTCGAGGTTGGTTCACCAATGGTTAATTAGAACTATGTTGTTGTTTTAATTTTAAGTATACAAACAACTATGTTTTCTTTAAAATTTCTTTTTGTATAATGTTTATAGACTCTCTTTCGTCAGACATGGAATTAGAATTGCATACAAAAATGAATGAATATTTATCATTGAATCTCGAGGATAATGACGATGAAGAAACTAATTGTAATAATGGTAACAATAGAAATAATTACTTTGATGACGATGACAGTTCGTCCTCTTCTTACGGACCCGAAGAATTAATTAGACTTTATAGTGAATCGTGTTAACAAATCTAATATATTCAGCAATACTTGTAAAATTTGTCTTTTATATTTAAGTTTTATATAATTTGATATTATGTAATCTCATTAATTAACTTTGTAAATAGAGTCCAACATTACATTATTAATAAATGATAATTATGTACCTATTTTAAGTTTTCTTTTAAAGGTTATGGTTCTTATAAAAACATTTTTTTTTTATATATATATAATTAAATAACAATTATATAAGACATAGTAACAAATTTTGTTGTTAAAATCAATACCAATCCATAGTAATTCATTTTTAAGCACATAAGCCACCAACTGTTGTTTAAGCTCATTTTATGAATAGGCTTGACTGAATTGGAAAACATTATTACCTTAGAAAAAAGGTTAAGAAGTCTAACCAAAAGAATATAAATATAAAAATAACCGATAATTATGTTTTTTTATTATTTTTAAGTATCCCAGTACAATTGTAAACTCTTACGAGTAAATTTAAGTTTTACATTAAATTTGTTACATCTCTACTATTTTAATACAATATTAACTTTTTTTAACAAGGGTTAACAAATACTAGCAATGATTGTTAATAATTTTGAGTGACTTAAATTTGTTGACTTGCATGATGAAGCATATTTATACAGTAAAAATGTTTATATTAGAAAATAGTATTTTTTCTTGTTATTGTTTGAAAGCAAACATTGCTTTTAAAAAGAATAGAATCGCAAACTCGTTACTTTTAATATTTTAGTCTAAAGTGTTTATCAAACCTTCAATGCGTTTAGTTTGAGACAGAATGTGAATGTAAATTTCTAGAGGCTTTGCTTTTAAACAATTTCTTCAATATCCAATTGTAGGTACTTAAAATGTGTAACTATACGGCTTGTAATATTACTATAGGGGTACATAGATACCTAATTAAAAAAAAACTTTTTACAATTGCATACAAATTATAACGTGACATTTTACAGTTGTATTTATTAAACTGATTGCAACATATTTTTATATGGAAAGCTCACAATGTTCTCTAAGGGGACTAAGAAACCGATTGATAATTTAGTTACTTGAAAATTGATTAAATTAATTTGAAAAAATTTAAACAATTCAAAATAAAAATAATTTTAATACACGTCCCCAATGTGAGGATGGTACATTTTTAAAAAGACTATTTATTTTGCAATCGTTATTTGTGTAGACGCATTTAAAAGTTACTTTGCGTTTTAGTCTTTTTTTTATAAAAATGTTTCTTCCCTTCAAACTAATTGAAAATTTATTTTTCTATCTTAAGACTTACAAAATCTGGATATTGATTTTAAAAAATTCAATAATTTAAATATTTCTTGAAAATTGTTGTGTAGAAAGGTGGGTATTTATTACTTATGTAATATAGATGATGCGTCAAACCAATAGATATAGGTTAGGTAAAGCAATTTAATGATAATAAACAGTGTTATAGCGAGTAAATATATTAAAATCAAATAAAACTTGAACATTAATAATTATACGTGGAAAATATATCTAGTCATTAAAATATAATCAATACAGAATGTTATCTCTGTCAACTACCTAATTCAAGTGACATCTTTATACCTGCCACTAGTCAGGTACCTACTCAAAACCGACTTAATTACAACAGTGAGTCGTGACTATGACATGGAAATTAAGTAAAAAGAAGGAAGTTGATTTTCTTCAAGGCATTGATCCAAACGTAACAAATTTAATAACTGTTTGATATAAAATACCTAATTAGGTACTTAAACAATGTAAAATTCCACAAAACTAAACATTGCCTAAAGCCTTTAATATATTTTAATATTAATGTCCTTCCAATATATGGACAACATATTAAATAATTAACTTTTGTTTACACTATTTTATTTTCTAATAATGTTACATTGCTCCACATACAAATGGTTAAGATAGTATTTTTCCCAGAAACATAATAATGATTTTTTTATTGAACAGCTATAAGTCATTTTTATAGATTATGATTTATGACTATAAAACAAGGATTCGTAGAATTATTTGTAGGTACCATATATACATGATAAATACCAATATCAAAATAAAAATATATAATAATCTAAAAGTTAATATATATATATATATATATATATATATTATATATATATATATATATATATATATATATATATATATACTAACTTTTAGATTATTAACCTATTCAATAATGCCTACATTGATAAGAGATTAATGTCTTCCTGTAACTGTATTAAATATTGTATACTGTATAATATGTATACAAAGTATTAGTCAATGAATTATAAATACTTGAAAATATAAAAAAATTTGCATTATTGCAAAATTCAACAATTAACTTCAAGGACTCGTTGAAATAATACAATTTTTCCAAATAAGAGATTATTGATTATTTAGTCGAGTATTAAGATAATATGTTTCATATACCAAGTACCTGTTATTGTTCTACAACAATAATTATAAATACCTATAGGAAAAAATAATATTAAAATATATACCTATATTATTATGCTTCACTTTGCCAACACAATAAATCTGAAATCAATTTGCATAGGTAACCATTAATGTACGGATTTTTATTAACTTCGAATAAACTAGGTAATGAGGTTTGTTGATTTTGCTGATTTTTTAGATTCAATTTAAATGAGTTTGGATATCATTAAAATATGCACTTTGTAATTCATATTCTATACAAAATTGGATTCTCACAATTTCATCAATAGGTATTTGTTTTAAACATTGTAATTATATGTATAACACATACACAAACTATCTTTGAATAATTTTACATTTATTAACAAATTTAAACATTTTTCAAATTAAAAAAAAAAAAATGATAAAAAAACGTTTATAATCTATGCTAAATTATAAAACTAAATGCCTACACATTTTTTCAAATTAATTTTAAGTGTTATTTCAATATTATAAATTTTATTTTATTTGTGTCTATAAGTATAACTATACCTATAACTTTTTTAACTCAACATGGAAACCTATCATATAACCTACTTACTTTTGATTTGTTTAAATTTAGAAAATTGCAATAAATATAATAGATATTGCCATATTGGTATGTTATATTTGATTAATTATTATTAACAATTGAATTAATTAAAAATAATTTATTTATCAGATAAATTTTATATGTTTGCGTTACTTACTCAAAGTAATAAGCTATTATTTATTAAGTATATTTATAAAATAGAAATAAAAGAAATGGTTTATCAGTCCGGTACTGGAATGCTAAGAATGCATTTTTGTATGGGCTGGTTAGGGTTAGGCGCATTCCCAGATTTAAACCATAAAATCACACAGACAGGTTTAACACCCATAATGTACCTAATTGTTTGTTAAAGAAGAACTTCCGGATCCGAGCAATTCAATTTAGCGAGTAGAAATTGTTGTTAAAGAATTTTTCACGAGAAAAATATTAAAGTATTGTGCAATTTGCAAAGTTTAAGAACAACATGCATTATTATTTTACAATAACACAAATCACAATCAATAGGTACAATCTAATGTTAATCAATACAATACAGTATTTTTATTACAGTACTTTTATTGACGAGGAAGGCAACTTTCAATGCTATATTAATTTGTAATTATTATTTTTATTCTGTGTATTTTTTTTAGCCGACAAAAAATTTTTTTATTACATGATTATGCTATTTAATGGTTGTTGTTCGTACATATTGTTATCTTGAACGAATACTATCTATATTTGCAATCGAAAGACGTCAAGACGGAGAAAAATTGTGCACAGAAATAAGTGTACATTTATTCTGTTTATCTGTATTTTATTGTCATTAACGGGAAAACGTTGTTTTTATAATTTTTATCTTTGGTAAAAATTGTTTTTTTTTATTTATATGGTTTTGATGAGGCAAATATTTATCTATTTTTAAATATATGTACCAAGATAAGATTCACTTAGAATATTTGTAATGATAGCGTCCGACGTAGACTAAAACTGGTTTTGTTTGTTATAATTAAAACAACACGGCGAATGAGATAAAAAAAAACATTTATTAAGTGAACTATTCAAATTTTAGTTTACCACACGACGGGTGTGAATTTTTTACCTTTTGCAGCCCTATTTTAAAATGTTGATGAATATTCAAATCCATCACTTGCAGTAATTAACCTGTAAAATAATTAGCATTCCAATTTGCAAACTAAACCACCTTAAATATATTAATTTGATTAAACCACCGTTAACTGGAAGGTGTTTATTAACACTTCGTAGAATACATAGTATTATTACTAAAGGTAAATATATTACAATCGATAAAAAATGTATCATTATAATAAAATTATTAAAAAAAACATTTATTTAATGTTATAATTGAAATTAACGCGTTTTAGGTGTGATGCGAAGCTGAAAAGGTTAATTAATGTTTTTAAGTGTTTAAAATATAAAATTTAACTGGCTTACGTGAATTTATAACCAATTGTTTACGAGCTGTTACTAAACTTATATTGGAGTTCGTTCTCATATTTTACTGCCGTCATAATCTATGTATTAATCATTCCAAGTTAGTTCATAAAATAAATTCTAAGACTTAGGGCTTAGGGAGAATTGAAAACTCCCAAGACTGAATCAAACTGTTTAACGCTACAAAATTGTTCAAAAATATATATTACTTAAAAAATATTAATATCATCCCTTATTTCTTCTATCAATCACCATTATGCAGGAATTACAGGTATTTTTTTTTTTAAACAGAACCAAATTTGTTTGTACTTTAATATTGACGCGAAGCTAAATGGATTGATTTTTACAATAAAAATAATATGCTTTTTATTTGCTTACAGATATTATAAACATCCTAGCTGCCTTTCTCAATAAAAATGACCAAATAGTCAACAGAATCAGTTTCTCCTTAGCCATTCATATTGTCACATAACTCGGTGTATACCTAACCTATTTATGAGTAAGGGTTTGAAAATGGGATATATTTTTCCAAGAAAGGTACGCGGTTTCTCTGAAACCGATAGATCGAATCCTGTATGCGTAAGAACCCAAAAATTCGAAATCGCACCTATAGTAATTTGATACTTGGAAAAATAATGTCCCTATTTCCACCCTTGTGAAAGCAATGTATCGATTTCTGGTTTATTTCTTTACACCTCTTAAAAGATTTATTGAATTTATTTGGCATTTGAAAACGATTATATTGTTGGTTAATTTGCAATATTATAAATGTTCTATAATCGACTAGTCAAAATGTTCAGTACCCATATTATTCTCAACATATGTTAAGGACATAACTTACCATTATTTTTTAAATAACTTGAACAATCTGGAATCACTATCTTTATTGGGGAAAATCAATTATCACGAGTCTTTACCATTTGGAATTTTTATATCGAGACGTTCATTTTAAGGGGATTGCATGCGGTTGGTTTTTAAAGAGTTTTGTATAGGCAATATTTAAGAAAAAAGTGGATTTAATAAATTTCGACCATGTCAATTAATTTACCGGTTAATTTGTATAAGCTTCGTGGTATTATTTTTAATTTAAATTATTTTGTCTGAGTAAAAACCATTTTAGTTAATATAACATACATTTTTTGTTCCATCGCACAGGCTCAACCAGTGATCCGATAAGTAATATGAAAACATATTTGAATTCGTCATGAAATTTACTTGAGATCGGTCGACGTACTTTTTTGATATCTTATTCCTACTATGTATTAAACACGTTTGAACATTATATAAAATTTCAAATTTGGAAAGGGTTAAAATTGAAAATTGAAAAAAGTGCCCTGACCGATCATAAGTAACTTTATGGCAATTTCAAATCTGTTTCTAAATTGCTTATCGGATCACTGGTTCGGTCTGTGCAATGGAATACAAATGATGTGTTTTGACTGAAAAAACCACCGCATGCAATCCCCTTAAGAAGGCGTCGCACCGGTGATTTTAAGTGGTAAAAACATGTTTAAGCAGACTGAAAATAACTCACTTAATTTTGGTTTTAGAGTAAAAGACCCATTATAAAATTAAAAGAGAACAATATTTTCAAAGGGCAAGACGGTTCGTTTTTTAAAAAAAATTCATTTTTTGAAAAGTTACAGTCATTTAAAAATGTTAAAATAGTCGTTATTTCTAAACTATGTATTGAGCGTTATACTTAGAATAATGAAAAAAACGCACCATCTTGACCTCCGGAATATTGTTTTCTTTTAATTTTATAATGGGTGCTTTTACTCTAAAACCAAAATTATGCGAGTTATTTTCAGTCTGCTTAAACAAGTAGAGATTAAAAAACATTTTTAAATCGCTTTCAAGGATACTATGATAGTCCAAAAAATAAATTAAGTACCAAAATAGAGTCCTAGTTATTTAACTAATAATTACCCATTACAGTTTAACCTTTAAATTAAGATTTTGTAAAAAATTGCCTATAATTTACTCCTTAAAAATGGACGGTGCGACGCCCTCTTAAGGGCCCCATACAGACCATTTTTTCAGTCGAAACACATAATTTTCATTTCATCGCACAGGCCTAACCAGTGATCCGATAAGCAATCTAAAAACAGATTTGAATTTGTCATGAAGTTTACTTAGGATAGGTCGAGGTACTTTTTTCAATTTTCAATTTTAACCCTTTCCAAATTTGAATTTAAAATTTGAAATTTTATATAATGTTCAAACGTGTTTAATACATAGTAGGAATAAGATATCAAAAAAGTACGTCGACCGATCTCAAGTAAATTTCATGACGAATTCAAATCTGTTTTCATATTACTTATCGGATGACTGGTTGAGCCTGTGCGATAAAACAAAAAATGTATGTTGTATTAACTAAAATGGCTTTTACTCGTGGACAAAATGATTTAAATTAAAAATAATACCTTGAAGCTTATACAAATTAACCGGTATATTTTTTGACATGGTAGAATTTTATTTAAACTAATTTTTTCTTAAATATTGCCTATACAAAACTCCTTAAAAATGGTCTGTATGGAGCCCCCATAAAGAGATTTTACCATTTTCAGTAATTATAATTCTTAACGCTTGTGACCTCCCCGACCCCAGTAAATTCACTATTTTTAAATATTATCTCTCAGTCTACTAGTCTATTTATTTTAATATAATGTACAATTAGTTTTTTATAATGATAAAATATATTAACGGGACGTAGGTTTGTATAATAAACGCTATCTGTAAATTATCAAGGGGCTTGGGCCCCTTTCCCGGAAATCGTTTCCGATTTGGAGTATATTTTCAAATCTACAGAGAGCTTAAGGTAGACGAAACGGTGTTGGTGGGTTCCGTTTCCAATAGTGCAAGTACCTAGGTATACCGCATACCTACATTCGGTTTATTATTGTTTTCATTGTTGGCGGTCGGCATACGTGCCTGAGGTCGCGCGCGCGCCGCCAAAATGCCCAACGCGCCGTTCGGCCGCCGTCGTGCGTCGTCGCCGCCGTTCGGTACCGATGGCGGCGGCGGCGGTATACACGCGTGACGTCATCAAGTTTGTTGACTCGGCGAACGCGTGAAGTACCCCTCCAGCACCTCCAGCCCGCGTCCGCGTACAATCACAACAAAAACACAACGGACGACGCGTCTCTCTTTGTGCGTCGCGCCACGGACGATCATTCGTACGCCGAGCTCCGGTCGACGGGTACGTACCACGCATAACCACCACTGGTATAGCCGCGGTAATCGATAAAAAGCCGTTTTGTACCTACCTACAGTGTTAATATTGTACGCACATAGGAGCTTGTTCTTCTTTATCAGTTTGCGGTTATAATTTAATTTTAATTTTTTTCTCTTTATTGTCCGTGTGCTGTACACTCGACTACAGCTACGCACGTTGCAGTACACAGTCGGTGGTAGCTTCTCAGCCGTTTGGTTTTTTCTGGCCCCGCAAGCGTAGCAGTTTTCGTGACGCCGTCGGACGTTTTACGCGCTAAAATCATGACCACCACACCGAAATCTCTCCCAGAGGAATCGCTGGGCGGTAAGTCTCGGAAAAATGCTATTATTATTTTATTTACAACACCCAAATCGATGATGCATTCTGATAAAATTCACTTTTGTTCGCCCTCCTCGACTCCTACTTTCATTGCCCCTCCGCCCCCGGTACAGCACAGCTGTTTCCCCGTGACGTTGCGTATCGACTTAAAGCCCGGAAAACCCGATCCGTACCTGTTACGCCGGGCAATACCGAAACTGCTGTTTTTTATAGTAATTTTTGTGTTTGTGTTATTCCCCAACTCTTAGGCAGTCTTCGCAATTATTGATCAAAACGTTGGTGTTTTTTTACGCCACGTTTCACGTTTAAATTCCATTAATTTTCATTACTCTTTGGTCAAACTCTGCAGTCGTTATACTCTAGTCGTTTCCAATGAATTGTCCTTATTATCATTTACCTGGTAGAATATTTGATGACTGGTAAAACATCACCTCAAAAGTTTGGTGTTTTTATTAAAAAGTTCTTTTGAACTACACACAAATCCTATAAAATTTATATTTTCGGGAGTTATAATAAATATTTGTCGGGCTTCAAAATAAAAAAAAAGGCCCGGTTTCCCCCCCTCAAATTTGTGGTTGTTTATTTATCAAAAATTTAGCTACAGAGTATTTTTTTTTAAAACTGTTGTTTTTTCAAATTTTGTTAAATTTCTGCTCTGGGATCAAAATTTAGTATTTTCCAGTGATTTAAATGTAATCTAAACACTTCTTTTTTTTTAAATGTCATTTTTTTTTTATCATTTTTATAATAATTGTGTATAATTTATGTTTTTTCTCTGTAATTCTTATTAAAAATAGTTTGCAGTTAATCAGATGTTTAAAAACGCACTGATAACATCCAAGTAGGTATTAAGGTTGTTGCCCCCCTTTGTATTTTTTAGATCTTAATAATTTATTGAGTAAATGTTTAAAAAAAAAACCACGAAATAGTATAAATAAATAAAAATTTTAGAAATACTGAATTCGGAACATATGGTCTGATGAAATATCCTTTCTCTTCATATATATTCCAAGAAGGTTTTAAAACTGATCAAGACGCTAAAATATATTTATTCTTTTATATTATTTGATCGGTCAAACATTCATAGTAATATTCATACTAGAAAAAAATATTTAATGATAATAAGCATTCTTATAACTAATGTGTAATACTTAGGAATAAAGAACTTGGGAACTCTAAACACGTAGAAAATGGTTACAGACTTCAAAATTTACATTTATAATTATTTATGTAGTTTAGGTATATTTGTATTAAATCATATAAGTTTGTTTAATTAAGTGTAGGTATAGTGTATACCTTTAAATACAACTATTGTTTTACTCTAAGTAAAGTTTTAAAAAAGGTGTTTTCCATAACTGTAGTCGATGCACACATTTGCCAATAAAAATAGATCGATTTTTATAACTTCTGTGGCAGTGTCCCTAAATAATTTTGAAATAAGTGTTCAAATTTTATATGTTATGTCTGGCATATTTTTAAACAAAATTTTACATCATTAAGAATTTTTTATAAACACGTTTTTTCATGACATTATTATTGGGTATTATTAAAAAAAATATGTGTTTGATTTGTGGTTTAACCGTTGTTTTGATAAATACTATTCGTATTGCTAACCCTCCTTTATTATGATCTGTTAAAAATAAACAACTACAAGGGTCTATAAGAAATCTATTATTGTCGTTTAGGCCTTATATTTTGAGCAGAAAAAAAAATATTGTTTTCACAGTAAACTTAAAATTAAAATTGTTAAATAATGGTCTCGGCTGTATGTATGTGACATTGAATGAAGCAAATTTTTCTCCATCCAATAAATGCCATGTCTTTTTACCCAATGTTTAGCTTAGATCATTTTGCCGTTTAACCATCAATCTAAGTAAATAATTTTGAACAAAAGGTAAAATTCTGAGTTAGATTTATGGTGTAAAGTAAAGTAAATAATTAATCTTAGTGTTTTGAATTTTAAAGACACGAATATCTTATAATCTATTGTTCATTTAGAGAAAAGTGTACCTTTCATAATAGTTGTAAACATTCTATCTCAAACGCAGTCGTATGGATAAGGTAAACGCCGTTAGTATATACACGTGTATATAATATAGTGGAGTAATAACTAGTCTATTAGAAATGACTAATTATAATAATTAAACATTTTATCGATCATTGTGTCGAGTAGGTAATCCGTACAGTTATCGATTACCATATATATCTCACGACGACTGTTGTGTGTATTGAACAGTACTTAAAAAGCTCATTGTTGACAATCTGCTATGATGACATTATAATAATTAATATCGCTTTATATTGTAGTATGACATGATAGAGTAATAATATTATGCTCGTGTATTTTATTTTAGTCGCAGATTGTTGCGACTAAACAATCTGACGTTTGTTTACATAAACACTAATTATCGCTGGAGCGTGTAATGATTGGCGTTTTAAATTTGTTTTGTCGCCCAAGACTTTCGGCGCGTGTTCTATGTAAATGTGAACTTTCTAATCCGAGCTTTACCTTCGAAAAAAGTTTAAAATTGATTTGATCATCCTCTTTCCGGCTCGAATTTCGTACAATAAAATAATAGGTGTTTAATATTATATTCATTCGGTGGTGCCCCGCAGTTAATTAACCGGACGCACGTGCATTGGGCAGGAGTAGCGGTTTTTTTTTGTTATGCATTGTGTAGTGTAATTTAGTTTTTGTTTTTGCACGCGCTTGGTCTCAAGGTCACGTTAAGACTGTACTTTCCGGTGTTGCCACGCTCGAGGCAGGCTAGGTCAAACGATTACCCCCCACGGGGTTACTCCCCCCCCCCGCAAAACTTCTCGTATTGTAAGTCTGCTGTACATGATCTCCACTTTCATCGTTTCAATTTGCTTACTTGCTTTCGTCCACGTACGATAAAAACACAAATCTTTGCCTTGGAAATTGACCGTAATAATATTTTATGCTATGGTTTGGGCACAGAATAGATGACGAAAGCATAAGGGTCTCTTTCAATGTAATCAATAAAGTGACGGACTGTTTAGTATTATATGTTATGTCTATACACAACAAATGTATAGATATTATAAAATTATAGTGGTGTAGCCTTAAGATGGCCGCCGCGTTTTTGTGTGGCAGAGATCTTGTCCGTTTTCAATTTTTATCAGTGTTCAGGGCCTTAGCTGGGTTAAAATTTTGATTTGGTGATTTGCGTATATTTGTACAATAATGAGGGGGGAAATATGTCATTAGGACATTTTTTAATATAAAACACATTTTTAGGCTTATACATAAATCATACAGATTAAAAATATTCAAATGTCGAATACAACGTTGTTTCTTTATTAGATTGATATTAAAATTATAAAGCTATCATACCAATTATTACCATTACAAGTAACGACAAAAAAACTAAAATATTGTGTTGGACAATTCTTATTTATATACCTTTAAGTTATAATATAAAATAAAACACATGTATTTTTCTAGGTAAAAACATCGTTTAGAATTATTATTCCCATTATAATATAGTTATATATATATATATATATATAGTACGCCAGTATATATTAGTACAAAAAACATTTATTACATGCCAAAAAACGTAGGAAAGAATACATTGTGCGCTAATTATGACCGTTTTCACCAGTGTGGCAAAACATTTAAGTAAAGTTTAACCTATTATTTTAGTATTGTTAAATTGTACTTAATTTTTAAGCTAAACTGGTGAAAACAAGACCATTTGTCTTTTACACGTCGTAAACTTGCCATAATTGTTTCTTTAACAGTGTATTTTTTAGAGGATATATTAGTACATTATTATTTTAAATGATTGAACACACTTTAATATTTTTATTTTCCAAACAACCCAGACAGTACACATGCCGTCATAATATTAATAACACTATACTAGACGTAAATAACATTTTTATTTGTTGTTGTTGTTTTCTACACTTAATAATCTTACATTGTATTATTGTATTGCTGTTGTAGTACTTAAAAAAAAAAAAAGATGATAAATCATAGAATTAAATTTATTATGAAACCACTGAATAGAAAATGTTTGTAAATTTTCATCGCCGTTTATAAAATTGTTTAATTATTAATTGTTATCAAGAAGATAGTTTTTCGACGAAAATATTCGCCATGAACGTTTGAGCATGCAGTGTTCACCGTATTTCAGTTTTTGTATCGGTTGCTAATTTTTTTTTACACTAAATTCTGAGTAAATCATAAACATTTTGCAGGCATATTAAATTTATTTTATTTTCATCTAGATGCCTTCAGTTTAGAACTTCATAGTTGTCTCAATTAATTTCAATAATATTTTGTATTCAAATAATACCTTAGAAAAAACTTAGCAACTTATGGTTATATAATATATAATAAAATAATCGAATATTATGTGGAAAAAAAACTAAAATTTAAAGTTGAATTTGACATAATAAAAAGATTGTTGGTATATTATGGAAGCCAAGAATCATCCTGAATATTATCTATTTGACCTATCATAGCTAGTGTTACATATCCGATGTACATAATAATAATAATATATATTATATATATCTTCTTCGTTGTCGTCACGCTCATAATTAAAATTGCATTATTACTATCCATTTTTATTACTTGAACAGTAATGTTATTTCATATTGGTTTCACAAACGTAAACAGCCCAACAGAAGATTTTATAAACATTAGTCGCTGTGTTGATAGATTTTCACGCCGACCTAAACACATTTTTTTTTTACAAGTGGAAATAACCCGAGTGTCTTATAGATAAACGAGAAGTACTCTTTGCTGGTAATATATACATCTGATTTATGCGGCGAATGTAATCGTTTGCGACCGTGTTTATACTCATGAGTCATGAACCGTAAACGTGTATTATGATAATTAACATAATTTTCCATATTTACCTAGTTAGTATTAGATTTATGCGAAAAACGTACCAGAACATAATCTGCATCGACGAAACGTTTTTTTTTGTTATAAAGAATAACTTACC